TTAAAAAGATAAATAATTTTAAAAAATCAACAAAAACAGGAAACAAATGTATTCAAGACAAAATTTAATAAATGTCTGACCTGGTACAGTCCACGCAGGACACATTCAAAATCTTGTACCTTCACGTTTTACGACCTTATTCAAAACATATTTTTTTAATTCTCATGTAAATTCCATGTTTGTAAAATCCTAGTGAAAAAGGTTATGAATAAAGCTTACCCAAACAAATACAGACTGTTACGCTGTACACAGGATTATTCTTATGAAAGCCCCAGGCTGCATTTGATTGGCTGATCATTTTACAACAACGACCTTTTATTAATCTGATGGCTTAAAGTAATCTCACTCACTCCTTCTAGCTAAGATAAACTCCTCTACCACTTCAGTTGAAACAATCTTACAAGGCAAATACAATATTGTTGACAAATGAACTGTGATTACTTAGCAAGTGCTAATTTTACATGCTGCGTGTGCATATGTGTGTGTGTGTGAGAGAGAGCGCAGGCACTGACAAAAAGCAGAGTGTCAGAGCAGAGCTCATAAATATTCACCACTGTTTAAAATGTGGTCAAACCTGAGCTTACAAGGGTCATTTCTGGGGTTATAGATGAGCATCTAAAGCCGTTTTAAAGAATTTTTGCACTTACCTTAGCCACATACCTACTATAGATATCAGAGAAGAATTGAACTTATTGAAACAATGTATTTTAGTGCATCTCTTCACTCCAATGCACTTGAGTGAAGAGGTCTGCTCATAATGCAATTACTTTTAAGTACTTTCTTTGATTATTATTGCTGCACATAAACCTCACCAACGATGGGTTAAAGAGATTAACACCTATGTTTATATTTGTGACATATGCATGTCAGTCTTTTTGTATAGCGAATCAAAGCCAAATAATTTTCGGTAAAATATTTAAATGCTTTTAAAACACAACTTTTATAACAAAACCTTTTTTGTTAATTTTTTGAACATGTTACTTCAATTATTAGTAACAATTTATGGTTGTGTTTGTTGTTGCTTGTTTATGTATGCTATTTATTTGCCTCACCTTTACATTTTCAGTCTGAGGCACTGATTGTAATAGTATTTATAAAAAACAATAAACATGAATTGAAATTACTGTGTTTGACATGCAATAACGCTCAAATGGTTTGTACCACAAAGTAATAAAACAAAATTTGATTTGGTTTCAGCACAATAACTACATTGATACATAATTTATTTTTGATAAACAATTTTTTTTTAAAAGGAGTCTTTATACATAAATACGTAGCATCCTTTATGTATATTTTAGGAAAACAGTCCCTCATGAGGGTGGTTTCCCCCACTATCCAAAGACATGCTGCATAGGTGAAACGGAGACCATAAATTGCCCGTAGGTGTTAGTGTGTGTGTGAACGTGTGAATGTGTGAGTGTGTGTGTGTTAACCTTGCGATGGACCGGCCATCCATCCAGGGTGTTACCAAGAAGCTGGGATAGGCTCCAGCATCCCCACGACCCTACATAGGACAAGCAGTTTGGAAAATAGATGGATGGATGGTCCCTCGCAAGGAGATCATTAAATTTGGGGGCCCTTAGCATGAAAAAAGTTTGAAAAGCACTGTACTAGAGGTCACTGACACCCCATGCATTACTGTCTGGCATATTTAGCATTATTTCGATCAGCCTAAAGCGTTTTTTGCAGCAAATATTTGCCCTTTGAGGGAGTAGGCTCACATCCACAGTAACACAACAAGCAAAGGACAGCACGCATTAATTAGGAAATGCTTATTGCCATCAAATAAAATTTTTGAGTGTGGTACTGCCACCACAAATGTGCATTTGTGGAAAATATTAGACATCCCAATTTAAACGTTTACATACAGATGCGAGAAAACAGATGTTTCAATAATATCTAGCGCCTTTAAGCTTCCTATTCTAAAAGTGAGCTAAAAGCAGCAGCAAAAAAAAAAAAAAGAAAAGAAAAAAATTCAATCATGGCAAGCTGCATATTTTAGGGCATCATTAATCAAACAAATAATTAATGAAGGGGGCAAAAGTTGTGCTAGTCTTCAAAACAGACATCAAGCATTCTGACTTTATATGTTCTTCCATTTCTGTCTCTCTGTCTGGGACCCAGGGCAAAAAGACACTCATTACTCCTAATACCTTATAGCAATCAAGATGAAAAGCAAAAAACAGCGGCACAAGAAGGGTAAACTTTATTAAACTTCATTAAAGTCAAAGTCGAGGATCATGTCTGTAATGGTCACACTCAGTGGAGGGCGAGCAGCGTAAATCATCTCAAAGGCTTTTTTCCAGCTTAATGGCTGGGTAATTTATACTTTGATGTCGTTTGAGTGTAGCTATCACTGTCTAAGGGCTGTTTATTCTGTTTATGAGGCCTAAATAATTCCTGGCTCTTTTTACCCATAAACCCTAAGCAACAATTAACAACTGCGGACATCCCGAGCAGAGGCAGATGCATAATGAGGAAGAAAGCGAAGATGAAAAAAAAAAAACACCAAGGAGGGGGGGAGAGATTACAAATGGGCAGACTGCAAATGATACCGAAGCAAATTCAACCATGTCTCGCTACAAAACAAGATATTTTAATCTCAAAGGTTCCAACACTCAGCTTAGTTGCCCCAGCAATTGACTGAATTGCTCAATTGAAATTGAATGTTCCCTCCTGAGAGCTATCCAGACCTCTTCCTGACAATGGGTGTGGGTCGGAGTTCCTCTGTTATTAAACACAGGCATTTATGGGTCGTGCTGTTTCCCTGCTGATTTTAATTTGCTATTAGCACTCAGCACTTATGTCCCTGAGGCAAAAAATCTAAATGATAATCTAAATGCACACAAAAATATACAGAGCAAACAAAAACACCTCATGTGTAAATGTAATTATTATTTGTCTAGCAATGTGTGTGTGTATGTGTGTTATAATAGGTAGATAGATAGATAGATAGATAGATAGATAGATAGATAGATAGATAGATAGATAGATAGATAGATAGATAGATAGATAGATAGATAGATAGATAGATAGATAGATAGATAGATAGATAGATAGATAGATAGATAGATAGATAGATAGATAGACGGACGGTCGGACAGACATACAGATAGATGGGTAGATAGGTGTGCTTTTTCTGAATGAATAGTGTAAAAAAACAATAAATAAAACTGATATTTTAAAAGAATTAAATGAAATTTAAGTGGTTTTAAACTTATCTACTGATTAATTTCATGTAATGCAAATTGATATTACTTAAATGATTAATAAAGAAATCAATACTAAATAATCAACAGCATTAACTCTTTTATTTTTTCAAAATTAATTAATTTAAAAGCAACATGTACACTAATAGAATGGTTAAGAACTTGTCATATATGATTGCAACTAAATTTAAAAAGATTTTCCTTTTCTTGATCGTGTCACTGACCATTATAAAAAAAGATATCTCCATTTGAACTCTGTATCCGCTCGAAAGGGTACAGAATGGACTGAAAAAGATCTTCTGACTGTGAAAAGCGCTTGAAGGAAAGGAGTGGGGCGAAAGGAGTCAGAGTCGGCCCACCGCTGCTCTCTAAGTATCCAGCAACAGTCTCGGCCGGCAATTAAGACAGCCTGAAACTACAGGCCGCAATAAGGTAATTAACCATTAGCAGATCATTGCGACGCTTATGAGCTCAACCTTCACAAGCACAATCATCCTAATACGGTCAGTAAAACGGCAACCTGCCATCTTCTGCCAGTTACAGACCCGTTGCCACAGCCCATTCTTAATTGTTGGCCATCAACAGTAATTTAGCTCGCTGTCCCACATAACAGCTTGATAAACAAGAGCGGCCTAATTACACCTTGCACATTCCTCTGAGCGCAAACAATAAATAAAGCAAGGTTAAGTGTAAACGGACGTCAGGAAGAAACGGGGACTCGTGCTTCCACAATCACACAGTCAGTAATGCTCGTCTCGGGCAAGTGGAGATCAAAGACAGAGCTCCCCTTCCGCCCCAACATTGTACTTCTTTTCTTTTTTCTTTCTTCCTCCTCCTGAAAGCACGAGTTAGCCTGGCCTAAGTTTACTCAGTGCTCGCTGGAACGGGCATGACAGGGATCACGGCTAACCCCGAAGGACAGGTGCTGCGTGGCTGGAAAGAGAGCAGCTCCCTCGTGCTCCTCGCAGGTCACTTCCAAGCAGCGCGTTAGTGCGAGCGCGGCGGCAGAAGGCCCTTAACGGGGAGTGTTGGCTGCTAGCCTGTAATTAGCTTGGACAGCTCAGGCTCAAAGAGAGAGAGGGAGGCAGCCAGGCTACATCATAATGAGCTCAGCTGGGATTAGGAGGACAGGCAGCAGGCAAGGTGGGGGCGTAAAAAGAGTGAGCCCTCCTGTACGAGGGAGCCGGGGGTAGAGATCAAGCAGGGGAGGGCCAGGCCGCACTGGCTGGCAGGGTTAGACCCCTCAGCAAAGGATGGGCCAAATGAGGCCTGGCAAGGAAAGGGCCAAGGCGGCCTAATGAAGCGCGACACCTCCAGCAGACGAGATCAGCAGTAATTAACACACACGCGCGCACTGACTGTCACTGAATGTACCCCCCAAAAATCTCCAGGGAACGAACCTCAAGACAGGAATGTCAGTGTGTTTAGCTGCTATAAATGTCTAGAGTTGCATTTGTATTCAGTGTATAAGTCCGAGTTGTTTGCAAGGAAGTTGTTTTGAAAAAATTGACATCACTTCATTCCCATTTATTTCATAGTCAACCTACTATAGTATGTGCGACAGTCAGAACATATGTCTTGGACAATGGAAAAACAAGCTAGCTTTAGATTTATATGTAGTCAGCCAAATGTTGTATAACAAAAATCCTTGAAAGCTGTTTCCCCCAAGTAATGTTTGATAATGGTTATTATTTCCCACAGTCTACAATGTGAATTTGCAGCTGAATCCTGCCGGGTGCTAATAATGGCTGTGACAGCTCTACAGGACCTGACAAAACGACAGACACTTACTTGTCAGCGAGTAGCTTCCTGTTCTCCTCCTTATAGAAAAACAGTTCTTTCCATAAACCCTCATTGTCCTGTGGAAATTGTACTTTGTGCTTCACCCTGAAAAAGGTAAGAAAACAGTTTATATAAATAGCAGAATCTCTAGCTAGAAACATATCAGCACTTGAAACTTTTCTTTCTGCACACATGTGTGACCCCCTCTGTGAAACCTATTTGCATAATCTAGCTCAGAGAAATAGATCGTCAACGTTTTATAGTCATAAAAAATGACAACAAAATATGCTACTTCTGTTTATTGCAGTAAATGATAGATTTATAGATAAATCGACATTTTGAAGTAAAGTACTATATACACATTTATAAAATGAAACACTGAAATGAACGATTTTATCAAAGTTGCTATTTTATTGTTTTGAGCAAAAAAAAAAACAACTAACTAAAAAAACATTGGAGGTTTGCTACATAACACTGATTTTAATCGTCTCTTTGATTATTTTTCGTATGGATCATTTTGTTAAAATATATTTATTTTCAACCATTAGAGATCACAAACAGACTAAAAAAATAATTTAATAAAACCTTTTACTGCCAAAATCACTAAAATTTCTAGAATGATTTATTTAGTTTTAAAGCATTTGTCAAGGTAACCTGCTTGTTTTAAATTCATTTTTATGATTAATATACCTCAATATAGTTCAGTTAGACAGAATATTGATGCTATAGTTTGATGAATTCTCTTTAGCACAGGTCAGCTGTTAGCATGAGGAAGAGAAAGCAGATTGTTTAACAACAAATTTTATATACATCTTGATGGAATTGTACTATTATATCATAACAATTAGACCCGTTTTTCAAAACTTAAAGAATTGTTCCATAGATGCATCATATATACTTAAAAATATGAGAATCTCAGCTTTGATTTGGTATATGGCACTTAGAATGGTTTAGATATGTTGCCGTTTTAAAAATAAGCATTTCTTTAAATTGGATTGTCTGAAAGAGATGATTTTAGTCTGAAATGAAGCAAATCTTTGACTTGACCTAGATAACATTAAAGATATCAATGTTACATTTTTGCAGAGTATATATATTTTTTAATTATGTAGATTGATTTTATGTCAAGAACACCAAAACACAAAAATCTGCAGTGACTTAAGAATCAACATCTGCACTGTAAGTGCTCATGATCCCCACAAAGATGGAAATTAGATGAACTCAGAACATCAAGAATAACACCTTCCATTTCCTTGGTCAGTTCCAAAAGCAACTATGCTGATATTAAATAGGAATTATACAGAGATAATAAAAATTACATACATATTTATATATTTTTTAGACATGTGGCTCCTGTGCTGCCAGTCTGTTAACATTTCATTTACTGATGTCGTAGTATAAATTTGCTCCCTCTTTATATGAGGCGTATAATGTATTGTCTAAATGCATGTTTTTACATAATACTTATGATTGATTAAAAAACCTTTATATAATTACATCTGTAATTAATTTATGGAATTAAATTTGTATTTAAACTGTTGACCATCCCTTACATCTTAACATACCTGTAAACCTACAAGATTCCACCTCAAGAACACTGAAAGTGTTATGCAATATATTATAAACACAGTAAGTATATTGTATTTATTTTTTTATTGATGGAAGCACATAGTAGATGAGGCCATCTCCAACCCTAAATCAGAAAAAGTTGGGACAGCATGGAAAAGGCTAATAATAATAATAATAATAATAATAATAATAAAAAATAGTGATTTTCAAATTTACTTTTGCTTGCATTTCATTGCAGACAATATGATCACAAAATATATCATGTTTTGTCTGGTCAGCTTCATTTCGTTTGTAAATATAGATCCTTTCCTGTCATTCAGACCTGCAACACATTTCAAAAAAAGTTGGGACAAGAGAAATTTAGGGCAAGTATTTAGGTAAACTGGCTAAATAATGATGTGACAAGTGATGTCAACAGGTGATTGCAGTTATGATTTGGTACAAAAGCAGCATCCAAGAAATATGTAGTCCTTTGGAAGCGAAGAGGATTACCAGTTTGCCATCAAGTACGTAAAAAAAAAGTATTAAAATCTTTAAAAACAATGTTCCTCAAAGGAGATAGGAAGACATTTTGATATTTCAATGGTGCATAACATAAAAGATTAATGGAATCTGGAGCAATTTCAGTGCATAAAAGACAAGGGCACAAGCCAAAGCTAGACAACCATGCTCTCCGATCCCTCAGGTGGCGCTGCATCAAGAATCATCATTCATCTATAAGTGATATCACCACATGGACTCAGGACTACTTTGGCAAAGCTTTGTCAAGTACCATAATACGTAGTTACATTCACAAATGCCAGTTAATACTGTACTGTGCCAAAAGAAAGCCGTATGTTAACAATGTCCAAAAGCGCATTCAACTTTTCTGAGCTCGGAGACATTTAAAATGGACTTTCGCACAGTGGAAACATTAACTGTGTTTAGATGAATCAGATATTTTTGGGGATAAAAATTCACATGTTAGATAAAAAAAAATTAGACAACGAAGACCTTGTATTGTAGCCAACCTTCAGACTTGTTTGCAGGAAGGAAGGGACAAAGTTAAACCTGAAACACTTCATCACTTGGTGTCTTCTGTCCCTAAACATCTCTTAATTGTTGTAAAAAAGAAAGACCACAATACAAAGTGGTAAATGCTTTACTGTTTTGACTTTTTTAAATGTGGTGTAAGATCCAAAATCTTTGGTTTTACATGTTTATTTATTAAGAATCATGAGGAACACATTAAATAATATGTTGTTGTATTGTCTGCAATAAAATACTAGTCAAAGTAAATTTAGAAATCACTACTTTCTTTTTTATTTGTGTTTTCCATACTGTCCCAACTTTTTCTGATTTGGTCTTGTAATATAAAGTTGATCCATAATAGTATTGCAATGTGGTTAGTTTGCAAGTACAGAACAGAGATTGGTCAGATTAAAAAGAAGAAATAAATAAACTATTTAGCTTTCTGGCCAGTCAATCAGTGCATCTCTACAATTACACAAGTCATCCAACTGAGGTCAGATAATACAGAAATTTGCAAGGTGGAATTTGAATTATTTCTTTTTATACAGGGCAGGTAGCAATTCAGCAGGGCAAGCTGCCGAGGTAAAGCTTATGAATGGGAAAGACTGATTGCATAACCACAGAAAGGCTAATAGTTTCTTTTGTGTGCTTAATAAAGCATGAAATCAAATTTCAGAATGAAAACCTTGACATTTGCAATATAAATATTATATCTCAATTCTGCAACTGTAACCGAGATTAACATAACTCACATTTTTAATAAGCAGGAATAAGCATGCTTTAAGTGCTCAAAAGATTTGCATTGTATGGGTATGCAGCAAGATTTCATAAGCTTACTCGCTAGGTAAGGGTTACAAATAGAACTATTTCCCATTATCTCAATTTGCAATAGAGGTGGGTTTATGTAATATGACACAAGGTTGTTGTTTATTACTAATATCATTAAATCAACTGGATCAGTGCATCAATTATATCATAAAAACATAACACATATAACTGACAGGGGCTGCATAATATTAGAATTTTTCTGCCATATATATTGTGATATGAATACAATTTACCCAAATGTCTTTAATAGTCTAGTAAAAAAAAAAAAAAAAAAATCATAATTTTAGATTTATCGGGACAAGTTTGTAGGCAGCACATCTGCATACGATGCAATAAATAAATTACAAGCATAGATAAATACAATAGGTCAAAGATTAAGTGAAATAAACAACACTTTATGGTACTTTATGGTAATACTTTTTTTCTGTGGAGTCTAACACCATGTTCTAACAACAAACAAATGAGTCAAAATTCCAGCAACAAGCAATTTGGCTGTCTGCACCAGACGAGACGCAACACGCGGCAGAAGCATTTAAATACCAGCCATTCACTTAATAATCAGCCACTGCACTCCTGACGAACTGGTGAGGGTTATAATCTAATTATACATATTTTACCTATTTACCAATATTAAAAGAACACAGGCTGAGTCACTGACTTTCATTTTTAAACTGTTTTGGGTAGTGGGTAGCACAGCTAGGTCGCTGGTTCGAGCCTCAGCTGGGTCAGTTGGCATTTCTGTGTGGAGTTTGCATTTTCTCCCTGTGTTCGCGTGGGTTTTCTCCGGGTGCTCCAGTTTCTCCCTCAAGTCCAAAGACATGTGGTACAGGTAAATTGGGTAGGCTAAAATTGACAGTAGTGTATGAGTGTGTGTGTGTGAATGAGTGTGTATGGCTGTTTTCCAGTGATGGGTTGCGGCTGGAAGGGCATCCACTGTGTAAAACATATGCTGGGTGAGTTAGCGGTTCATTCCATTGTGGCGACCCCAGTTTGACAGAGGGACTAAGCCAAAAAGAAAATGAATAAATGAATGAATGAATGCTAGTTATTTTATTTTTATGATCTGAGGGGAACTCTGTGTTGCTGCTTTCAGTAGTATGGCAATAAATGTTACATAAAATGGTGTTCAAAGTCACATCTGTAGCATTTAACACTAAATAAAGCACATAATCTGTACCAGAGGAGATAATTGTCATAGCAGTTTATGGTTTTGTTTTGCAGCAATAGCGCAAAAATAGAAACATTTTCTACAATAGAAAATTTGCACACAGCTGTCGCAAATGTTTAAGACAAAAACTTGTACAGTCTTTAATGTATAAATAAAAATGCATGCACATGATAAACTTTCACCCTATTATGGTTCAACTTTATAGTGACACCAAAAATTTCATGTGTTCTGAACCATGTCTGTTTGTCAAATATAACTCAGGCTCAACACTGCACATCATGCAATGTGACTCTTGCAGTTGCGCACATTGCAATATAGATGCTGATATTATGCAGCCCTAAATCTGATAAACTAAACTCAAACAGTCTAATCTAATATCAAAATGTCATATTTAGTGATCAGTGGGGTTGTTCACATTGTCAAATATTTAAAAAATAAATAAATAAAAATAAGTGTGGGAATATAGTCTTTGTGTCAACACAAATTGCTACTTCAAAATGAACACTATCCGTTTTCTATGTATTTATAC